ATATACCTTAAGTCTATCCCACTAAGGGTTACAACATCCCCAACGGTATTCTCTACTTGTTGTTTGTTGGCTTGACCTATAGATTTTGACTTACGGTAAGAGGGAAGGAAGTCTTTAGTGTTTTCAGAATGAAAATCTACAGAAGGTAGAGGCCCACAGAGGGCATACCTTTTGCCAACAATAATGAAAGTAATTAATACCTGAGAAGCGTAGGTTCTGCGTTTTTCCTCCTCCCATGGTTCAGACGCGAACTGTTGGTTTCCCACCACCTTCGGCCCCACCAACGTTTCAAAAGGGTGAAGCTTAGAGGTTCTCTTCAAATATTTCTTATGAAATTTCTTGTGATCTTTGGTCATGGTGGAAGAAGACATTGTTAATTTGAAGGTTGTGGAAGAGGAAAGGAAAATCTGGGTTTCTTTTTTAGAGAATTACAAGAGAAATGCTGGAGAGTGTAAAAGATGACTTTGGGGAAGATGGCGCTACTTATAGGAGGGAATGAAGAACGTGGGAATTGAAAAGAAGAAATTAATTGGTAATTAAAATGGCTATTGTAGGACACGTGTTTTACTGGAAAGGGTTTATTGGAATGTGAATAGTCGAGTCTAAAACCCACCTTTTCTTAGGCCATGATTTCCTAGAACCTATGAGCATGATCACAACTAGTGGCATGCGTGAAGGAGACGTGTTGAAACTGCTATAATAAATGCTAATGATGTCATTAAGTATGGGAAACAATGATGATGTGACTCCAAAGACATGCAAAGGTCATGAGAGTTGTCGAAGCGGAGTACCAAAAAATGCCATTTTCTTCGGAGGTCGAAAGTGACATTTTTGGGGGGGCAATTTGTTAGCCTTAGATTCCGACGCCTAGGTAGAAATGTTAAGTTTTTGAGTTAAGGCAGCATTTCGACTATAGTTATGCTGCAAGGATTTCGACGAGCAAATGGATGATCGTTCGACACACAAGAACCTTTGAAGTTTGAATTCAGATTCTAGAGGAAAATGCAGTTATTTTCCACCATTTGAAGGAGGCATGTGACACTGTTTCAAGTGATCAAGGCATGCAGAGTGAAATTTATTTTAATCTAGTATGTTGGATCATTAGGAGCAGTTATTTCGAATGGCTATAAATAATGGCTCAATTTAGAATTTTTTGTGTGTGTTCATGTTGTACAAGTTACTCAGAAATGACTCAAAGTACCTAAGTCAAAGAGAGAAAAGAGTTATAATTGAGAACGTACGTGTCGAAACACCGCCTTTTATTTTAATCAATATAACAATTGTTTTTCTTTTTACAAGAATTTATCCTTTACTTTACTTCTTTTTATGCAAGTTACATTTTTCATTCTTTCTCTTTATTTCAAACTGAAATCTTCTTCGCCCCAAACTTCTTTTACTTTCTATTGCTTTATTGTCAAATCCTTTTCTCTGTTCTTCAACACTGTCGAAGTGTTCACCCTTCTCTTTCAAGGAGATTTCTTTTTAATTCAGATTAGCTATGTCCTAGGATTTAGTGTGGTCTATCCTGTAAGTTAAAACGAGTCTTTTAATATTTGTTAGACCAGCGGGTGTTCTCCAAATTTCACGGCGAACAGACACCCACAAGGATAATTTTTGAAAAATCTTTGAGCTACATATTGTAGGAATGTTCTACACCTTTGACAAATCATTAGGACTTAGGAATTTCAAACATTATATAGCTCTAAGCAACCTTGTCATAAATCCCATGGAGAAAATAAAGAGTACCTTTCAAATCAGTCCACCTAAAACCAAAGGTTCAGATCCTTCTTTACCTTTGAATTAGAATTATATTTCCAAGGAATATAAACCATATCCACGTTCTTAGAGAATATGTAATACCCTTTTGGATTTTGACCCAAGAAATTCCTACTAATTGGATAGAAGAAATTTTCAACCACATGATCCGCTCCAAAGAGACCCAACCAGCATAACTCCCTTATGGACTAATGATCATTAAACTCTTAACAACCTTCAACATTGACACCATAGATGAATTTGAAGACCCAACCAACAATAGAATAACCTACAATGCATTTAGGGAAGTAAAAGTTCTCTCCAAATATGGAGGAATACATGAGGACCCAATAGTCAATGAAGAAGAAGAACATGAAGAATCAAAGATTGACAAAAGGCTAAATACATATATGTTAAAACATAGCCAAAAACACGGAGAAGGTCACGAAAATCTCCATAAAGGATATGCTTATGATGATGAATGATCACATATATGTGTTTTAGGATGTTTACTATTGTCTTCTTTTTTGTTTGCCTTTTTTTTTTAAATTCCAAAATTTCCCTTTGTGCTTTTGAATTCTAGTAATTTCAATTAACAAAAAAGAATGATGTTTTCCTTTTCAAAATGAATATTTTCTTATGTTTGCATATTTAAATTATTGCAATGCACCTTTATCCTCCTTTTTTATTTCGATAAAAGGGGAGAAGTATACTCTTAAGGAGAGTATAGTCTACTATCTCCTTAATTGAGGGGGAGTTTAATTACTCTAAACACATACCGTTATTTATTTTGCCACTTCCCCTGAGAGATGGGTTATCATGATCAAAAAAAGGGAGAATGTGAAACCATGTTTTGCAGGTTATTAATCAAGAAAGTTCCATTAAAGACAACCATGATTTTGACGATGACAACTAAAGTCAAGCACAAAGCGGTTAAAGATGCGACAAGATGCATAGAGCTTCATGAGTTGATTATTTGATGATGACACCTAAAAGAAATAAAACTCAAGCCTCATCTCAAAGTAAAGTTCTTCAAGAAAGTGTATACAAGTATGAAGCATCTGACAAGACTCTAAGTACGTGAAAGTCTTCCTAAATATGTCTAAGAGAATACATATTGTAAACACATTAGGTTTTTTTTCTAAAGTATACGGATAATCATACACACACTAAACCAATGTTTTAAACTAATTTTTCTCAAGAAATTATTTTCAAAAATGCCTTGGAGTCATGCTAGATGAGTTGGGTGCTATCAAAATAGTGTTGGTCAAAATTTTGTTTGTGTCAATCAATTAACACCTTATACCAATCGATTATGAGAGTTCAAAAAGGTGTCATAAATAATTATGACAACATCTTAATGATAGTTAGCGATTATATATCTTTTCGCCTGAGTCACAACTCCATTGTAGGTGGTCGAGCCTACGTCAGATTCCCTGACTCCACACCGCTTTTAGACTCCTCAACTTCGCAGTCTTTGCTGGCCTCTACCGACCAACGTCTTCCATATGTCGTCGAGTTGCTTCAGTCTGAGTCTCGCCATCGCCTACAGCCACCCGACCACTCCCATGACATCGACTTAATTCCATGTACAATATTTTTTTTCCAACTTTCTGAATTCTAACAATTAAGAAAAAAGTCTACGTTTTTTTTAGTGGTTCACACTTAAAATTGGTCTTTTTATCACATGTTCAATCACATCTAAATCACTCTTATTTTGTTCTAAAAGTCAATAAAAAAATGAGTTTTATTTTATTAAAAACTTTTATATAATTTTGTTTAATAAAAATATGATAAATAAAATTAAAGGAATATAAGAACTAATCATAAAAATAAACTTAAAAGTCAGTGAAAACAAAGTTAATTTTCAATAATTTTTCTTTTCTTTTTATTAAATAATAAATAAAATAAACTATATAAATATAAGAAGTAATGGAAAGAAAATTTGTTTTAATTTGATTAAATTATAGTTTTGGTCTTCAAAATTTACCTAATTCATAAAATTATTCTCACTATTTTAAATTCAAACAATTTTAATCACCCTCTCACCTTTTTCTGTACAAAATCAATAAGATTTTTATTAATTTGTATTTTTACCTATAAGTATCTATAATAAATTTATATAAATTTTTTTTTATATTTCAAGAATAAAAATATTATTAATTTTAAGTATAAATTTATACTAGAAAGACAAACTATTTAAATTTTAAATAAGGTGGCCAATTTTGTAAATGAGATGAAATACGGAACTAAAATTGTAGTTAAACCTTGTAAATTTTAACAAAAAAAAAAGGTATATGATAAATAAAAATATACTAAAAATAAGTTGTAAAAAACAATAAAAATAGTTAATGGATGATTAAACTTTGATCAAAAAGGAGCAAAATTTATGTGTTTTTTTTTTTAATTAAAAACTTTTAAATAAATTTTTGTTAATAAAAATTTGATAACTAAAAAATATGTTATATTTAGTAAAAAAAAGTTAGGACTATTTTATTTGGACACGTTAGTAGAGAAAAGTCAGGTTTTAATAAATAATTAAAAACACAAATTTAAAAGGTAATGGAATAGTTTTTATTAAATAACTTAAAATAAAAAATTGAAATAATTATAGTTTTGAGGCTACAATTTTCTCTTATAACTCAACAATTCCTATATAAAAAATTATATGCAAGATTTAAATACCTATATACATTTAATTATATGCAAAAGAAAGAATTGAACTACCAAGTCTATGTTGATTAGTCAAGTCAGCATGTCTTTTTTCTAATTTACAAAAAAGTATTTTTAAAAGAATAGTCTCAAGTTTGAGATAAACTAGATCACATATATGGACACATATTTAAGTTGAAATATGTTTTATAATATTACTATGAGTATAATATCTTTATGATTGGTCTAATTTAAACATAAAAGAAAATACATTAGGGAATGCAAAATAGTAGTTTTGTTTTAAATGAAAATATAAGTTTTATAAAAATTGAATATACTAAATATTTTTATGTTAAATTTCTTAATATGTGTTATAACATATGTTGGTCATAATTGGTATTATTCTAAATTTAAACTAGTGTAGTGTATGTCTGAAATTGTGACCCACTTTAATTTCTAAATCCCATAAGAAACAATAGAGTTGACTAGCAAGTCTTGTGTAATTTAAAAAATATTCTCAAATTTAGTTGAAAGGATTTTGTTTATTTAAACGGGTAATTAATACCATTATCTTACAAATCGTGAAAATAAAAATGAAGAAGTTAGTATGTGCCTTTTTGTTGGTTTTGGTTTTACAAGTACTTATGTGCTGTGAAGGTTGTTGGAAGCAAGAGAGAGAAGCACTTATCTCTCTGAATTCCCATGTTGAAAATGCTATTTATCCTTGGGTGCACAATAAAACTGATTGTTGTGAATGGAAAGGAGTTGAATGCAACACCACCACCGGAAGAGTCACCAAACTCACACTACACGAATATCCATTTGTACGTTGCCAGCTTAACTACTCTGATTTTATAATCTTCAAAGATTTGAAGACTCTCGACTTGTCAGATATTAATATATCCAATTGTACAAGAACTGATCAAGAAGGTTATTTCTCATACAAATTATGTACTGTAATCACTAAATATGAATCCATTTTCACATGGTAACCATCGTTTACATTTACATTTATGCAGGGTTGAAATATTTAGAAGTTCTTGACTTGGGTCATAATGCTTTCCATAATGCTAAAAGTTTTCTGTCTTGTTTAGATGGTCTTTCATCCCTTAAGTCTCTATCATTAGCTGCGTCCGAAAACCCTTCATTACAAGGTGAGGCCAAATTTAGTTTTCTTGCTTTAAATATATAATTAATTAAAGGCAATCAATACTTTCTTTTTTTTGTACTCTAGTTTTTCAGACAGTTTTGGAGACAATTTCCTCAAAGTTGCTGCATCTGGAAGTTATTGACATAAGTTACAACTATTTGACAAATGAAATTCTGCCTTCACTAAAGGGATTCACATCTTTGAAGGAACTGTATTTGAGTGACATTCGATTGGACTCAGATCTTCATATACAAGGTAACACTTTCCATTTTATTAAGATACTTAAACCAATTAAGATTGCTTCATAATATATGAGTTTAACGTGTAGGATTATGCGCCATATTGAAGAACCTTGAGATCATAGACATCTCCTCTAACAACTTCAATGACACTGATATCGGATCTGCTCTTGCTGACCTTTCCACTCTCAAGAGTTTAAATTTACAATCTAATCAAATTACTTGGAAATCAATTCAGAGTATGTCATCCTTTACTAAGGGCACTCGTTTTAAGGGTTTGTTTGAGAGTTGATTTTTGGGGAGAATGTTTTGTAGAGAGTGTTTATATCTTAAAATGTGTGATATTTTTAAAAAATTAATTGTTTTTAAATAACAAATACATTTCATGATATAGACATAATGCTCCAAAGTCTTTCCCTTTGAAATTCTCAAAAAATCAATTTCCAAAAAGAAAGGGTACTCTTTTAAATAAACTATATAATTCTAACCATGCATGTGAATATGTTTCTAACCATGTATGTGAATATGTTGCTAGATATATCTAAGTTAACGAGTTTAGAGATCCTTGACTTGAGTTGGAACAGTTTGAACTTATGGCCTCCAGGTTTGTCATCATCCTTGATCTCTAAGTTGCATATTTTTAGTGATGATATGTTCTACATTTTTTATCAGAGAATAATGGATTTGCATGGCCGACCAATTTACAAGTTCTTGGATTGAGCTTTAATAATTTAAGTAACAATATTATTTCATCCCTAAATGGTCTTTCAAGTCTCAATTCTCTTGACTTAAGCTACAACAACTTGAAAGGATCGCTAGATGTCAGTGGTGAGTATTGCTATGAAGATTCTATTTAAAACTCTTCTATGCCCTCAGTGATTGTATGTGATGTACAAAGTGCCCTTAAAAAACGTTAAATTTTGACATAACTTCGGAGACAAAATGTCTCACTTATGGCCAATATAAGGGTCGTCAACATATTGGAGAGATATGAATAATCACCACGTATGTGGAACCCATCCCAAAGGGAAAGACTTACAACAAATATCAACTCTTAATAGTAATAGAAACAAATTAATCGCTCATATAAATTATCTATAGAAAAGAAATAGTCATGTATTTTTGTATTTTATTTAATAGAATAGTTTGATTTAATCTTATTAACGGTTGAGAATGAATTGAGAATGAATTAGTGTAAGATTTTCTCTCTCTCTCCATATTTTCTAATATTATCGATATTACTCTACTCCTAAAAATTTCATTTAAAATAAAAAGTTTCTGCTACAATAAATTTGTAAAAAGTGTATGTTATAACTTATATTTAATGTATGTGAAAATAGATCTTATAGTTAAAAAATATGAAATATGAATTAATTCTTTATTCACCTTTTGCAGGATTGTTAACTCTATCCAGTTTGAAGATTCTCAATCTTAGGTTAAATAAATTGGTGGATTTCGTTTTTCCCAAAGGTATTTCTGAAATATGATTTTATTAATTTATTGATTAAAATATGTATATTTATCATAAATATTAATATGACTTAGAAAAATTAAATCGAAAGCAACTATAGAATCTGCCCAAAATTTTGCTTTAAAATACTAGGGAAGTAAGTTTCCGGCGTTTGTAACTGAGTTGAGTACTCTAATACTCCTTTAATTAACTCCTTACTTATAAGAAAAGCTACAATATTGAAATTAAAATTTATAAAATAGAAACACAATTTTACAAAATATTCAAAATTGTTAGAATTTGAAATTATCCGGATAGTTAAAATGAAAGGTTTAAATGTGGAGAGAGATTGAGAATAAGGGAGAGAGATTGAGAATAAGAGAGAATATTAATGAGGGTGAGGATATAGATCCTCATTAACTATAACGAGGATATCTTCAAAGTACTTATTCAAGCGGGTTGGGACACAAACAACAAGTCAAATAATTAAAAATTGAAATTTGCGTGTTTGTAATCGGTTATACAAAATCTATAATCAGTTACACTAAAAATATAAATAGTGATAACCAATTACTGCTAATGCGTAACCGGTTACACCAACAACAAATTCACTTTTCTTCAATTTATTTGGCTTTTCTGCATAGCTGTAACCGGTTACACATCTGTGGTAACTGATTACATCACTTGAATTATCAAAATTCTCTTAACACACCACCTTAATTCAAGTGCTTTAAGTCTTCCATGCCCATGTTCATCTTCAACCTTTTGAACACTTCAATTGTGACTCCCTTGATCAATAAACTTGTCGATTAGTCTTCACTTCTACAATATCTCAATTTCAACCTTTTTTCACTAACAAGTTCGCTCAAGTAGCGAAACTTTATCTCAATGTGCTTGCTCCTCTCATATGCAATTAGGTTCTTAACAATACTTATCATGGAAGCATTATCAATCAGGTGTGTTATAATGTCACCCTCAGTGGTGCCTAGCACCTTCAGTAGATTCATTAGCCACACGGTTTAACACACACATAACGAAGCAATAATGTACTCAGTCTCACAAGACGAGAGTGCTACTACTAGTTCCTTCTTCAAACACTATGAAATTGGTGTTCCGAAAAAATTAAAGATGTATCTAGTTGTATACTTTCAATCATCTTTATCTCTGTACCAATTTATATGGTAAAACCGGGCAAATTGCATTTTCTGCTTGTTCCTGCTGCGGGAAAAAGAATTATGCAGCAAATAAATCATTGACGTATATTCGAATCCTTTTGACTATTGATAAGTGAGACACCCTTGTGTATTGCAAGGATCCAATCAGCTCCTTATACTGAGTTGAACTAACATCTTACTAATTCTCATTCTTTGACAACTGTATGCTCGGTTCAGTTGGAGTAATGACAATATTATAATGCTACAATTCAAACTTCTTCAAAATCTCAAGCGCATACCTTCTTTAAAGTATGAGCAGTCACCTTTTAAACTCGTGAGCTCAATGCCAAGGAAGCATGTTGTGAGGTCAAGGTCGGTAATCTCAAACTCTTTCATAAGTCCACTCTTGAACTTAGAAATGCTCTTTTTGTTGCTTCCTTTAATTAACAAATCGTCTACATATAGACCAATGATTATCACCCCTTCACTTGTATCCTTCTTCACATGAACACCATGTTTGGGTACACACTTCTTGAAGTCAATCTCCTTTAAGAACCCAGCTATCCTCTTGTTCCAAGCTCTTGGAGCTTGTTTCAAATTGTACAACACTTTCTTCAACTTGTAGAACTTTGACTCTTGGTTTTTCACAACAAATCTATGGGTTATTCTACATATACCCCTTCTTTAAGAGGTCCATTCAGAAAGGAATATTTTACATCCATTTGATAAATGATTCAATTGTTGTCATTCGCAGTACCAACAACTAGCCTAATGTTTCAATCCTAGCAACCGGTGCAAATACCTCTTTAAAGATTATGCCTTCTCTTTGAAAAGAAATTTCTTTGCAACTAATCGAGCCTTATGCTTGATTATTTCACCCTTGGGATTTTCCTTCACCTTATAGACCCATCTAACACAATCTTCTTATTTCGTTCAAGCATATCAGCAAACTCCCAAGTCATGTTCTTCTCAATAGATTCCAACTCCTCCTTCATATTACAAATATATTTGGATCACTCAAGGCCTCTTTTGTCTTAGTGAGTTAGGATTTGGCCATAAGTGAAAAATGGACGAAATCACCATCATCATTGACTTTATTGTCTCGGAACAACTCACAATCTTGGAGTCCTAGAGGCAAACCTCTTTTCCTGGTCGATCTTATTACATTCTTTTTAATTTTGACTTTAACGGGAGCTGGATCTGCATTCTCAAATTCTACAGAAACTAAATTTTCAATGTTGTAAATAGTTATAACTTTTACGTAACCGGTTACATGTTGTTTCAACTTCTTTATCTCGCCAATAATGATGTCTCGACTGATCAGAATCCACTTGTTTGATGTATCATACAACTTGTAACCACATGTGGAGTAATACCCTACAAGTATCATCGATTCTCCTTTGTCATCCAGCTTCTTTCTATTGCACTAAAACACTTTGATACGCTACGGAAGTGAAAACTCTCAAACGGTTTAGATTCAATTTGAATCCATACCATGCCTCATCTGGTGTTATCTTCTCAAGCTTCTTTGTTGGACATCTATCAAAAAATAAGCAGTTGCGGGTACCGCCTCTCCCTATAATTCTTTTGACAATTTTTTACCTTTTAACATGCTTCTCACCATGTTCATAATCGATTGATTATTTCTTTTGGCAACACCATTTTTCTATGGTGTATAATATAGTACTACCTCATTTAACCTTTAACTCAACCTTGAAAGTTATATTGGAAGCCATAAAAGCTTTAAGGATCAATACCTTGTTTGAATCCACAATGTGTAGCACCTTGTTCTCCATGTGAATCTTGTAACCCTTCTCAAGCAATTGACTAATACTTAAAAGGTTACGCTTGATTTTGATAATATACAACACATCATTTATCAAAGAATGTCTATCATCTCTTCTCTCGACTGATACATCACTGATCACTTCCTCCGCTAGAGTGGTGCATCCACGAACTTCACTTTGTTCTTCATGGCACAATTAATTTTAACAAACCAATCCTTCCTCTCTGTCATATGCGTAGATCATCTGGAGTCCAAATACCATTCCTCGATGCACTGAACTGCTTCTCTCACAAACACCATTATGTTTTTTTCTTCCTGTAACCGATGGTAGCATTTACGTAACCGGTTACAACATGATTCTACTGTGTTCCAGAACTGATGTTGTTTTTATCCTACAACCCATTACTGCTGCATTCCCCTTCTGTGATCATGACCAAAAGTGTGGTCTCTTCATTAAACACTTTCCTTGCAACCTTTGGTTCATCCCCATGAGTTTCCTTCTTATTCGCATTGCACTATCTTGCAAAATAATTTAACTTTTGACAATTAAAGCATTGCACCTTGCTTTTTTGAATCATGCTCCTTTCACCTCTAAATTTGCTTTGACCACCATTTGTGTTGCGGTTGTTTTCACCTCTTTGAGAATTCAAATCCTTGAAACTTTAGGGATATCTTCCATCAAAATTCTGAAAATTCTCTTTACTCTTCATAGGTCATTTTCTTTCGATCTCTTATTCTTCTCGTTGAAACGAGCTTGTAAAGAGATATCCTCATTTTCCTTATCACAATTCCTCTCCTCCATTATTTTCTCATGGGCCTCAAAAGAGCTTTGTAGCTCCTCTTTTCTCATCGTCGTAAGATCCTTCGATTCCTCAATCACTACAATTATGTTATCAAATATTTCCATCAAAGAGCGCAAGATTTTCGCAACAACATATTGCTCTGTAACAGTTTATTCACATGCCTTTACTTGGTTTACCAACCAAGTAATTCTCATCGTATAATCGTTGATTGTCTCCTTTTTTTGCACTCAAATTAACTCAAGTTGTCGTTTGTGAGTTTGTAACCTCACCACCTTCGCTTTTCCTTTTTTAAGATTTCTCATGCTTGCTTTGACGATTCACAATTACTAACTTTCTCAATGTTATCACCATCCACACATTGATAGATCAAAAACAACATCTTGACATCTTTCTTCTTTTCTTTCTTATGTGTTGCCAAACAACACTTTTATTTGCTTGCACCGTTTGTCGTAATTATTTGCATCAAATAGTGGTAGATTTATATGGATTCTTTCATTGGAGATGGAATTCATGTTGCACACTTTTCATCTACTTATTTGGCTTTTCTACATAGGTGTAATTGATTACATGCTCGTGGTAACCGGTTACAACACTTAAATTGTCAAAATTCTCTTAAAAAATAAATACAATACAAAATAAAAGTAAAATATATAAAAGAGATATTCAATCTTAAATTAAAATACCAATAAAAAATATATTTTTCAATTTGGCATAGATAAAGACCGCAATTAAGATAAGTTCTTCAGACTTCAGGCTTTATCTATTTAATTTAATGAAGAATCTCAAATTTGAAGATGCTTACTCCCAAAAAGTTCTAAATAATTGTAATCAAATTTATTCATGGTGATTTTTTAAAATTTCCAAAGCTTTTCATCTAATTGAACTTAAATTTTTTAATGTTTAATCACCAAAAACTTGCTCCTCAAGTGTAAATGTTGAAGCAATACAATTTTCTTCATTGTTTAAAGCACAACGCACTATTTATTCAAAATAGAAAACTTCTCCAAAGCATAACACATTGACTATTGACTAATTTCAATTTTAACAATATAAACATAACACATTACCCATTCATTCCTAGTGAATGAGCACAACGCACTATTTATTCAAAATAGAAAACTTCTCCAAAGCATAACACATTGACTATTGACTAATTTCAATTTTAACAATATAAACATAACACATTACCCATTCATTCCTAGTGAAAATTCATTGGCATCAATAGCAAATTTTGTTGAACAACACAGTGGTTGGAAGTTTTGTTTATTCTTCAATTT